TATATAGCTAGCAAGTAGCTATCGATTTGTGGCTACCTTGTAGGTAGCTACAAAGTTACAATATGTAACTAGCGATAAATCGTAAAAAAAAATCATTGTCAATAAAACTACATTATATAGCTAGCAAGTAGCTATCGAATTGTGGCTAACTTGTAGCTAGCTACAAGGCTACAATATGTAACTAGTGATAAATCGTAATAAAATCGCTATCTAAAAACTGCGATATGTAGCTATCAACTAGCTATCAATTTGTGGCTATCTTGTAACTAGCTACAAAGCTGCGATACGTAACTAGCGATTAATCGTAATTAAATCGATAGCTAAGAAGCTGTGATATGTAGCTATCGAATAGCTATAGATACATCGCTATCTAGTTGCCAGCTAAATAAATGCGATATGTAGCTAGCGTCATATCGTAATAAAATCGCTGTCTATAAAACTGCGTTATGTAGCTATCAACTAGCTATCGATTTTTGGCTACTTTGTAGCTAGCTACAAAGCTGCGATATGTAACTAGCGATAAATCGTAATAAAATCGCTGTCTAAAAAAATGCGATATGTAGCTATCAACTAGCTATCGATTTGTGGCTATCTTGTAACTAGCTACAAAGCTTCGATACGTAACTAGCGATTAATCGTAATTAAATCGATAGCTAAGAAGCTGCGATATGTAGTTATCGAATAGCTATAGATATATTGCTATCTAGTTGCCAGCTAAACAAATGCGATATCTAGCTAGTGTCGTATCGTATTAAAATCGCTGACTAAAAAACTGCGATATATAGCTAGCGATATATCGTTACAATATCGCAATGTTTAAAATTCAATTATTTTCATAATTATAATAGATCCAACACTAAAAGTCGAATTTTCAATGATGTTAAAGACTTAAGGAAAAAATTAAATAAGAAAAAAAAAATCGCTCTAAAATCGCTATAAAGCTAGCTAGTCGCTAGCTAATCGCTAGCTCGCTTCCCACCGGGATTAAAATAAAAAGAGTTTTTTGAATGAAAATACTTGGAATAGTTTTCAATAAACATTTAAATTTTTTGCAAATTTTCTAATTTTTTTTTTCAAACTTTTTAGTTTCACTCTTTTTAATAATATTAGAACTTGTTAAATTATATTTTTCTCTATTTCACGAAGGGCTTGATGATAAGACATTTTCTCTTCTGCTTGCTCCAGTCAGATTATAGCTGAATATATTTATTAGATCTTAAGGATAACATTGTAAAATGTGTGCATTTTGAGGAAAATAATAACAATTATAATAAAATTGGTCTAGTTTCAAATGAAAAACAAATTCAAGTTTAGTGGGCAAAAAAAATTTAGACATCAATTTAATTCAACCAAATCAAATCAAAAAAGATATATATATATAAATATAGATATATATATATATATATACATATATATATACATTAAACAATTTAAATTAAATCAAGGGGCCCACTGGCCGGCAGACCGGTTGGCCAGTACTGCTAACTATTAACTTTCCTCTACTGGTAATTTTACTTCCTCTACTGAATTACTAACTGAATTTATATTTTAAAATAATTAAATTTTTAAAGTCATAAATATTAAAACTAAACTATCAAAACTTCACATATACACGTTAAACTATTTTAAATTGATCAAGCATAGTTTTACATGCAGGTTCTAATAGGGTGCTTTGTGTATCTATACTCAATAGGTATCTATACTCGGGTTTTTGTGTACTTTACTACTACAAATGGGACATAAAACATTTATACATATAGTTCAAACAATGTTAGTAGAGACATTTGTTCAAAAAGAGGTTTTTGTCATTTTATATTTTTAAAATTAGTCACTCGGATAACTTCTGTTTACGATAGAGATATTCTAGTTTACTTTTATAGGTATGTTATTTTATAGGTACTACCCTATGTTATTTTATAGGTACTACCCTATGTTATAGGTACTACCCTATGTTATTTTATAGGTACTACCCTATGTTATTTTATAGGTACTACCCTATGTTATTTTATAGGTACTACCCTATGTTATTTTACCATAATATAAATAACTATTTATATTACGCGTATATAATGTTCAAAGTTGTTAGAGCACAATTTACTGCTCGAGAATCGCTTTAAACAAAGCTGCAGTAAATTTGTTAAATAAATTTGAGTTTAAAGGTGTGTTTTGGGTCGTTGTCTTCCATAAAAGAAAATGAAAAAAAAAAATCCATAAAAGAGGCGTGTTATTATAATTATAAGAAACCATTTTTTCTATGAGAATATCGCGATAAACATGAATTGATCCATAATGCCATTTATTCGATGGATAGGTCCAACTCAGCTAAAACCAGAAAAACAGCCACATCTTTTGCACTTTTTCCATTTGACTGCTCCTCTTGTGTATTTAGGATCTAAATGTCTACCTTAAGCTTTGCGTTCTTTAAAATTGCTATCAGAGCCTTTTAAATGAAACTTTAATTCATCGCTGCATAATAATCTTTTCCAATTTCATTTTTTTGTTTTTCTTAACTTTCCGTTTTTGTTACAATTAAATTCCGTAATATAATACAAGATAATCTTATTCTTTCAAAAATAAACCAGTTATAAATATAAAAAATCAAAGACAAAATAATAAGAGTTAGTTATACAAAAATAAATAAAAACGCGGGAAACTTGCAGAAGACCATTAAGTCTTATCATCAAGAACCGTTGTAATAATTATGTTTTTACAATATTAAATTCCTATAATAGTGTTAAAAGCAAAACTTAATTAACTAAGGTAAATAGTGTTAAAACCAAAAACTTTTCAATGTAAAAAGACAAAAACAAAAAAACAAACAAACAAAAACAAAGCAGTTTAAAAGAAATCATTAATGAGATTTGTATACTTTGAAACATTCTTTTTTATTAGTTTTTGAAAGCAATTTATATTTTTTATACCTGGTAAATTACTATGTTTTGCTAAGATTTTATTCCAGATATGCGGAGCACGGTACGTAATTTTAAATTGTTCTTGTTTAGTTTTGCACAATGGTTCAATCAAGCCTGTTGTGCGTAAAATATATTTAATGTTAGGTTTTATTACTCTTTTCCAATCGTCCTATCTCTATGCGCATTTGCTTTTTGGTTCTTTAGAGAAATTTTGCGACCGTGGTGCAGTGGTTAGAGCGCTTGCTTTATAAGCAGGAGACCCAGATTCAAAAAACTTCCGCGGTGCTCTGTGACAAGACTATTAGGTCTTCTTAGAGCACCTAAATAATAATTAAAAAAAAAGAAATAAAAGTTATTTTTGCTGCTCTGAAAGTAAAAAATACTGAAAGTTACAAACTTTATTTTGAGACACTGAGAGTTTCAGTTTTTGAATAATAATATTAGTGCTGTCAAAAAGATTTTTTTTGGCGTGATGACTGCCTTTTTTAAATCGCTTGATTATTTGAAATGCAATTGATTTATAAAATACTTGTTAGCAATTTATTTTTGTTTGGCTCCTCTTTTATAACACGTTTTTTAAAAGCTAAATTATACTTGTTTCCTACTATTACAAACCAAACACCGCAAATTCGTGAAATCAAGCTAATACCGTGAAATCAAGCGTAATATCGTAACGATTACAATACTACAGTACCCTCTCTGGACAAATAATAACGACTTGTTAACGCTTATTAGTTAAGTATTAATGATTATAACATTAAAATTATTTTGGATATTATTTCCGCACGAAGATATTCTTGAGAATGATTTTTTGTTGGTTTTGAAATATTTTTTAGAATAGTAATAAAAAAGTTCCATCACTACGTTTTTACATTAAAAGATTACATTAGAAGACCACATTTTTACTTTAAATTACCAATAAAAAACATATTTGTTTTCAAGTAGTCTTATTAAGTATACATTTCTTTTAATATATAATAACCATTTATCTATTATAATATTAATCATTTTCTATCAGGTAAAGAGTATTTTTAGAAAAGTTCCTGTATTAAAAAAGTTAAAAAAATATTTTTTTTATTTGGATGCTAATGCATTGGAGGACAATGTACATATAGTTGATTATGGGAAGTAATTATATGGGTACATATATTGATATAGGAAGCAGTCAATTGATTCATTTAAAAATATTTTAAAACCTGAAATGTTAAAAATTATTAAGATATTTCCCCTCTTGCTAAAGTATATAGGAGTAGATAATGCGTTTAACGCAACTATTTTGAAATTTGTTTTATGCCCTACCATATAGCAAAAAAAATATCTTCTTTGATATTTCTTTGATTTTTCTGCTGTTAAAACTTGTTTCATTGTTGGTGTGAAGATTTCAAAAACAAAATGTTAGCAGCCTATTATCTGAAAACGGTGCAAGATAGGTGGTTGATTGGAGAATTACGCTTGATTGGTATTTGTCATCGGTGCTATTTAATCTTAATACGTCTTTGGATAATAAAGTTTTTAGAAAAAGCAAATTTCACGGAATTTTATTTAATATTAAAAGTTCATGTAATAAAACACATAAACGAGCTTAAAATTTGGTTAAAAGCGTGGTATTACGCAGACTTCTTTAAAAAATGTTTTATTCAGATCTTCATTTTTGGAATGAGCATCACTGCAATGGAGCATCACTGCAATGGAGCATCACTGCAATGGAGCATCACTGCAACGGAGCATCACTGCAATGGAGCATCACTGCAAAAGCAGTTGGAATGTTATTAAACATTTTAACTAATTTAGAGTGTTTTTAAAATTTTGAACTGATTTGAGATGTTTCTAATAATTTTAACTAATTTTAGGTGCTTATAAAATTTTGTTATCACAGAACATTTTTTTGTAAAAATATTTATAACAAATAGCATTTTAGCTTTTAAAGGATTTTGCTGGGCTGTGTAAAGTCTGATGTTGAAATAGTTAAAAGATTTGTTAGACTTTTTAAAAAATTTTGTTGCTTTAAAATAGTGTAACTATTTCCGATGTAAAAATATGTATAATTTTTTTACATCCGACATAAAAATATGTATAAAATTAGTACAATTACCAAAATGCAATAATATTGACACAACCTATCAAAACTGAGTGTTTATACATGTTGCTATCGTTCGTACATAACATAACAAAAGTGGTTGTTTATACGCTTTGCTATCTTTTATACACGTTTATATTAAAACTGGTCGTTCATACACTTTGTTATCAAATAAACCCACCAACTAATCTTCCTTTCTTCCTCGTCAAATGTTTCAAGGTTAACAACCGTTGTATCTTTCAACATATTATTACGTTCCTGTATTAAGTCAAACTGTAACTTTTTGTTAACAGTTACGATGCCAACTTGAGCTTCCATGTCACGATAAACAGAACGCTTACCGAAATTCGGAGATCCAATAAGAGTCAACAAAGGACTGCAGATATCTGCATAATCGTTACTATAAAAAGTATTTTTATTTTTGTTTTGATCTAAACTATCCTGAAGATAAAACCATAACCCCTTTCCGTGAAATGTCCATTTTTCTCTGTAAAACTCCAGAAACTGTATTCTTTCATATTGGTTATATCTTATCAACTCTCTGTAACGCCATTTAGAAATTAGACTGTAAGCATTTGGTACCCCACCTAAAATTATTTTTAAAAAATTAGCAACAAAAGGTGTTGAAAGTTTAAATAATGGAAAGTAAGATAGTGAGCGAGTTTAAATAGTGGTAGGTAGGATTTGATTAGTGATCGTCCGAAATTCTTATAAATTCAGTAAAAAGCAAAATTTCGATTGATAAACATAACTATAAACCTTTCGCCAATTTATGAAATAAATCTCAATTTGTGTTACTCGTCAATTCTTACATAATACGATTATAAAAAAATTAAAAATATAAAATTTCATTTTTAAATTAATTTTTCTAATGAAATTAGTTTTGACTAGGCTTTTTTTTGTTTCGGTCGATCACTAGATACGATCTAAAGTATATGAAAATTGTCTAAAGTATATTAAAAACTAAAATTTAAAAAAAACAAGCCATACATATATAAATATATATATATATATATATATATATATATATATATATATATATATATATATATATATATATATATATATATATATATATATATATATATATATATATATATATATATATATATATATATATATATATATATATATATATATATATATATATATATATATATATAAAAGTAGTTAGAGTTAAACATAAAATTTTCCCATTTTTCACTTAATAAGATTTATAAAATGTGATTATTTGAAAAATTAATAACTGAAAATAGAGCTGTATTTAAAACAGTGTGGGTACACTCTAAAAAAAATGAAGAAATTTTAAAAATTGTAGAAATTTCTACCTAAGGATAGGATATGTAAAAAAAAAAAAAAAATATATATATATATATATATATATGTATATATATATATATTATATATATATATATATATATATATATATATATATATATATATATATATATATATATATATATATATATATATATATATATATATATAATATATATATATATATATATATATATATATATATATATATATATATATATGTATAATATATATATATATATATATATATATATATATGTATATATATATATTATATATATATATATATATATATATATATATATATATATATATATATATATATATATATATATATATATATATATATATATATATATATATATATATATATATATATATATATATATATATATATATATATATATATATATATATATATATATATATATATATAGATTGAATATATTAGGTTTAAAACATATATATGAATATTTTAGGTTTAACACCTAAGTTATTCATATATTTATATATAAATAAATATTATAAACTTTAACCCTGACCCTGACCCTAACCTTTTTTAGTAACCTTTGAATGTCAACATTCTTCAACAGGTTATTACTGCATTTATTTCCTACAAATTGACAACTGTATGTGAGTATTTTTCAGGCTAATCTTTTGCTTTTGGCTAACACTGTAAATGGATTTAAAAAAAAAAAACAATCCCTCAAAATTAAAGACAAAAATTTGATTTCAAATTTTACAAAAATTGGCAGAAATTAAATCTAGAAAAACTTCAGAGTTTTCAGATCAAAAAAACTTTTATCACATTGTTGATCTCATGGGATTTGCTTTTATTTTATTAGTTCTATCATAATTAAATTTATCATTATCAGATCATCATCATCACCTTTATCATCATCTACCAGCAACAAACTTGTTGTAACTTGTCTTTAAAATTCTGAATGTTTTATGACTTTGTTGATATCTCTTGTTGATGAAACTCTTGATGTTTTGATGACTTTGTTGATGTTAACACTTTCAATGTCACACTTATAGTACAAGTGCTTGCTTAAGTGTTCACACAAAAGATTAGCAACTTTATTATTGTTTGAAATTTTAAATTTAACATCAATTGTAAATGCTTTTATAGGAACTTCTGGAACTGTAATAACTGATTGACGCTCAACACTAATGTCTCAAGCTGTTGAACTTTTAAGTAATTTAGGAATTTTTAGTTTTATTCAAGTTTAAAATGTTTAAAGAATTTTTTTTGATGTATTAATAAAAGCAAGACTTAATAAAATAATAAATAGAAAATAGAACAAGATTTTAAAAAAATTCTTCATCATCATTATTTAATCACTATTTCAATTTTTAAATTCACCATTTTCAAATTTACCATTTCAATTCACCATTAAAAAAAAAATTCTTCATTATCACCATTTCAAAAATTCTTCACCATCACCATTTCAAAGATGATAAGATAAACTGTTGAATGTTAAATTTCTGCTTGAAATGCCTTTCAAGCAGAATTTTATTGGTTTTTTATTGTAAAAGCGTCTCCAGCCACAATAAAAAATGTTTTTGTTCTTAATTGCTGTGTGGTGTTCTTTAAAAAACATAATATCAGACTATAATGAATACAGAGCTTCTTTACTTCGCTTCTAATTTTGTGTAAAATATGGACTCAACCAGTCTTAACCCAATTAACATGTTTAAAATAGATTATTTGAAAATTTACAAAAGTAATTAATAGGGATGGCAAAATCCCTGACATTTTCAACCCTGGGATTTCTGGATTGAGAAATTTACCCTTTGGAAATCCTGGGACTGAAAAGGAAAAACCCTGTTGTAGGAAGTGAAGCATGAGAAGAACTAACTTTTAAGTACTCATCATCATCTTTTAAGTACTGTTCATATAGTTGCTAATCCTTTTTCCATAACTTCATTTTATTGTACAATAACGGTTTTGACGTTATTATCTCATTTGTGGCTTGATAAAGTCTGGTTCAACTGAACACAACTATCACTACCAAAGTCTGCTGCAATATTACATTATATTTTGATCTTTTATCTGCTCATCTTTTTTCAACCTAATTAAGTGAGTCAAAGCTAAATACAATTGTTTTCAGATTGTTCTTGTTATACTAACCCAGTTGACAAAAATCTAAAATTGGAAAACATTTGCATGATGCTTTGAGTCACCAAATTAAAGAGAGGGGAACACTGTTAAGTAGCTTAGTTTATTATCTTCATAATGGGCAGATTATTTCATCAAAAATGCAAGAACTTTTTGTACCAAGTACAAGTACCTAAAATAAAAAAATTACGATAAACCTGATAAAGCGTTTAAACCTGGCAGATATAATAACAGTAGCAGACTTGAGAAGTGACAAAAATAACTTTTTGATCTTCTCTCTTCTGTGAGCACTTCTTCGCTTCTTCATTCTTGTTGGAGATTTGTAGTGGTTAGTGCTAAATTTAGAGCCTAGTGATATTTGATCGATTATTTTCTTTAAAACTTGTTTTTTAATCTGCTTATAAAAGTCTAACACCATTTTTCTGATAGTATTGCATAGTTTTGGGACATTTTTATAGCATTGTGCAATTAACCCGGCTCATATATCAAAAGAATTACAAACTGTACTAAATGATATACATTCTTTTGTTGCCATAGGTACAAACCTTTAGAGATATTTTCTTGTTTTTTTGAAGTTTTCACACATTTGGAAAGAAAAAATTCAAAAATAAATCAAGGTATATTTTCTATTAAAAACTTGCTCTTCCTTTATTACTTAAGTTATATAAAACTTAAGAAATTAAAAAGTCTTAATAAAAACTTATATCATACAGAACACACATAAAACTATTTAATTTTAGTATGACTTGTGCATTTTTTTAACAGTAAATTTTTTAATAAAAAAATCAGAAACAAGTAAAATTTATAAACAGGGACATCTTGATAAGCATAGGGTGATTAGGGAAATCTTCAAAAACTAATAAATGTTTCCTTCCATTTATTAAGCATGCAAGACTAATTGATTAAGTATATTTCTTTTTAAGAATGCATGTCTTAAAAATAAGAAGCATTACAGTGTTACACAAAGAAAACTCTAACCAAGTTCAAAATGAAGATTTGTTTATATGACGTAAAATCTTATTCCTCCTAGAGATACGATAACTAAAAATTAATTGTTTCTATTACCTTTCTTAACAATTTGTTAACAGTCTTTACCTACTACTCATAAACCAAAAACTCATCAAATTTACTAAATACTTACATAGAGTTTTAAACCATCTAACTACTCAAGCTTTTCAAATATTGAATAAAAAAAATGACTTTATTCAAATACTCAAATATTTTATCAAAAGTAATATAACAATTATGCATTAAACCTTTTTGTACCTAAATATATGTTTGTAAAAAGTAAAAATTAACACACTATATATATATATATATATATATATATATATATATATATATATATATATATATATATATATATATATATATATATATATATATATATATATATATATACATATATACATATATACATATATACATATATACATATATATATATATATATATATATATATATATATATATATATATATATATATATATATATATATATATATATATATATATATATATATATATATGTATATATATATATAAATATATATATATATATATATATATATATATATATATATATATATATATATATATATATATATATATATATATATATATATATATATATATATATATATATATATATATATATATATATATATATATATATAATACTTTGCATTAGAACCTCTTTGCAAAAACATATTTATTTATTATTTTTAGAAGCACTTACCAGCAAGACCTGGAGCCTTATAAAACCCCATTGCTTTAGGATGTGCCATAATCAGTTTAACACCCTGAGCATGGTTGTTGAGTAACATATTCCAATAATTGTCAGTAAGATTAAAATACGCTGTAGCCAGAGTTAAATTAGAATTATTAGGAGCAGTTGAAAGAACATTTGTTGTAAACTGTTCGTCTGTTGTTATTCCCATATTTTTCATTTGCAAAAGAGGAAATATTAAAGTATCATAGGTGGAGTTCAAAGTATTTAACTGTGTTATTGATTTAATTGCATCAGTAATAGAATATTGACTTTTGTAACGTTCTGTAAACTCACATAATTGCTTATTTGCAAATTTGTTAAAGCCATTTTTACTTCCTTTGTAAGGATGGATGTGAGGTAAAGCAAATGTAACATCACCACTGCTCTGAAGAGCAAATGAAAAAGAGGAGATAGTCTTTATGAGATCTTGAAAATAATCGCATAGTATTTTGTTATTTCTAAATATGATATATCTATCCTGCCGGTTTGTAAAATAATCAACACTCAAGTTTGCTCTATAGAAAGTAAATAAAAAATTAAATTATTTTATTTAAAACTAAAAATTATTATTTTTTAAATAAATTAGAGAAAAAAATTTATAAATACCTATTTATACATAGTTTATAATAAAAATAAATAACAGCATCTAATAAATTATTCATAATTTACACAATTTAGTATTAAAACATAATTTATTCCTGCTATGATTATCTTATACTACAAAGATTTAATATATAAATAATGTATAACCTTTTGCACTTGAAAAAAAAATTAAAAAAAAAAAATCATCACAAACCCACTTAGAATTAAGGTATCATCAAAAACATATGCTTTTACATGTGAAACGTTAACAGTTTCATCAAATCTTGGTGGAATAATAGCTTTTAAAATGCCACGTAAATTAGGAGTATGAAATAGTGCAACTGTTGATGTTGATCCAAAATGTTTCTTAAGTGGAAGAAGAACAGTGCGAGAACTTTTAGCACCTCTAGATCCTCTTGTATACTCTAGCAAAATATTGACTTCAAAAGGTTTTTCCTTCTTTTTAAGATTATCACATATTACCTGAATCTAAAGAGAAGCATTTTAGAGTTTTAACTGCAAAACATAACATATATTCAGAAATTTAAAATTATATATATATATATATATATATATATATATATATATATATATATATATATATATATTAGGGTGTTAGCCAGGAATATATTTTTTACCGCCTTTTTGCACTATTGTGTATATTTATTGTTAATGTTTTACATAATGTTGGGAATTTTTATTAAAACTGTTCTACTCCTTCGAAGAAGAAAAAAAAAGGTCATGGCATTTTGGGAATGCTAAACCAATTGGGTATTCTGCGTTATAAGCGGTGCCATTGGGCTGGCTAACATCCTGTATATATATATATATATAAGCGCTTGGCAGGAGTAAATGATCGCGAGAGCAGTGAAAAGCTCTCCTAAAACAAACATGGTGGCCATGCAAGCTGTTCCTCTAAACTGCTTTTAATGAAAGCTTTTGATTTTTGCACAAGCTATGTGTTTATTTACATAAAAATTTCTTACTAAATACAAAATTTGGTTTTATACTTGTTACAAGCTTATGTTTCTAATGTTAATGTTACAATAATATACATCACAAGCATCATTTATTGCGCTGTGAAAAAACTTTTTATGTGTAAATTTTTTTTTTGGCAAAAACAGTGCAAAAACAAAAACTCTTTATTATCCACTTAATTAAAGTTTTTTGACTTTTTTCATTTTATTTACAATGATAATTATATATTTGAAAGAAAAAAAATACTTTTGCGAGAGTTGTAAATTCCTCCCATAAACCGTTTTAAGGGAGCGTGGGTAATATCAAGAGCTAAAGCTCAATGGTACTGTGGTCAAACCATTTGTTAATTTGTACAGTTTTTTAGGGTTTTGACAAAAAACTTCATTCAACTAAAACTTTTACTTTGAATTCCATAAAAGTTCATGTAATAAAATATCTAAACTTCACTTCAAAAAAACTTTTAGATATTTAAAAATTAAATATCTAGCGTATTATTTATAAATATCTAGCGTAATACTTATAAATATCTTATAAATAAATATCTAGCGTAATAATTTATTAAACTAAAACTTCACTTATAGCGTTGATTTCCTACATGCTTGATCACATTCTATTAGTTAATGACTACTATATTGAAAATTCAAAAACATCATATAAAATTCAAAAACATTTGAATTTTATATTAAATTAAAGTCTATTTATTAACAAATTTGTCAGCACATACAAATAAGGTTTACATAATAGAAATCTTACGCGAAAAATGTTTATATACTTATGTGTTTATATATGTTTATTTACTTATATGTTTATATACTTATATACAGGTGAAAGGACCTCAGAATGCTAGGTGTTATTTAAGATCCTTGTTAAGACAAAATATTTGTGCTGCCACTTAGTTTTTACTTTTAAGTGTTGACAAAGTACTCATGTTAGAATGCTAAAAAGGTTAAATTTTTCTGGGCACCATTTTCATATCTTTAAATAAATATTTAGAAAATACTTTTTTCAAAAGGGACCTCAGAACATCAGTTTAAATAATAGGTTGTAATGCTTCCAATTTTGATGAGAAAATCATAAATTTCATCATAAAAGCATTATTTTCCCTTTTTTTAAATGTTTGGTTTACTTACCCTTTTCACTTTTTATATTCCACTGCAAAATGCTAGCTTTGAAAATTAAAGTGTGTTTACTAAAGTAAAGTGTGAGTATGAAAGCGTGTCTTGATATTTCTTTGGAGTTGTGAATAAATAATAAATAAGAAAGTCTTTTAATTGCAGAGTTAAGCTAAAAAACAAATCAAGATGAAATGTAAAAAGATATGTCAGAGATTAAAAATAAGTAGTTAAAGGAAGCAGTTGAGTCGTGTCGAATCAGCAATAAACATGGTCTGGTCGCAATTAGTTCAAGAAAATTTAAACTTGTTAAAGAACTAAGAACAGTAAATAAAAGACTTTATTAACTGAACTTAGGTGTCATTGAAATTGGAAAGGAGATGAAATATTGTTCAATTTTTACCAAAGATGAGGAAGAGTTGTTAGTCTTTTACATAAAAAACAAGAATATATATATATATATATATATATATATATATATATATATATATATATATATATATATATATATATATATATATATATATATATATATATATATATATATGATATATATATATATATATATATATATATATATATATTTATATATATATATTTATATATATAATATATATTTAACATATAAATACATATATAAACGCACACATCTATAAATATATATTTATTTTTAATTGTTTAAATAAAGAAAAAAATATTTGGTTTTATTATCTCAAGAATCTTTTATACTATCTGTAATACAATATCTTTTAGTATCGTGTTGAAGTACAGCTACCTGAATGTCTATTTCAGTATTCTGAATGTAATTAGAATAAGCTGAAAAAGACAATCAGTTAGAAAATAATTCATAATAAAATAGTAAAAGCTGCCAAACATAAACTGACGAATAATTTAATCATTTGGTGCAATCATTTGACAAGAATTTAATAAATTTTTTAGTAAACTCTTAAGTTCCTTGAAATGTTTTGGGTTAACAAAAATGGCAGCCGTTTCAAAAACTGTCTACAAAAAAGTCATGTGACACTGTCTCCTATTTATTAAACCTCCTTGGGCGTTAATCAGCTCCTTGATCAAATCAATAAGAAGTTGCAAAGAATGTGAAGAAGTGCTAAATCTGCACTTTATTCTTCATATATAATGATCAACAGGAAAGGTTTCATGAATATAAATTATAATTGCATTTATAAATTATAAACAATTATAAATGCAGGTAAAAAGTTGGGATTTCAATTGAAGGAAAAATTGTAGGAAAATAAGTTCTTATGATCCAAGCTGTGTATTTAAGAAAATATTGAAAATAATCAATCATCAACAGCAACACTTTCATCTCCAAAAGATGTTCCTTATGGCACAGTAAGCTATTGGAAACATAAACACGAAAATGCCATTGAGGCTTATTAAATAATACCTTATAAATCGATATCACTTGAAGAAATACCTAATTTGTTGCCTGTAACCAAAGTAAAACCTGGGTAACTCTAACATAACCTAAAGTGAAAAAGGTTCATTTTAAGTTATGTTAGAGTTACCCAGGTTCATTGCTCAATGGAGGGGGAAATGTTAGAAACAGTCTCATAAATTGAGGAAGACATTGTTAAAAACAGCATGATAATAAAGAAAGGAAATCCAAGCAACAGAATAAGCTGAAAAAGGCAATCAGTTAGAAAATAATAACAACAGCAACAAATTGAGGCATTCTATAAATGTAAGGAAGAGTCTACATATGTCTAAAACTATACAGATTTTTGAATCAGTACCTCAAAACACTAGGCAAAGCACCACAAAATACTATTTGAAATGTGATTTTAAAAAAATAGGAATTATTCTGTGCATGCATCTTTTTAGAACTGTTTAGAATGTTGAAGCAACCTTTCTGATAACATTTTAAAAATACCAATTATTTTTGCTTTTATACGATTTGGTGTAAAAAGTGTACAAATCCTACCTGCTTTTCCTTACTATTTTTTTTCTTTTTCTTTATGACTTAACATCCTTTGTTCAGATTATTCATAGCTTTCAGCATTTAATAAAAAAATTAGGACTTTATGTTGCTTAATTCAAAACCTGACATTCTGAGGTCCCACTGCATTCTGAGGTCTCTTTACCTGTACTTTAATTTTTCAATTCATCATTATATCGATGTATTATAATGCATGTTAACTTCTACCTCTATTGAGGTACAACTGTCAATTAATTTGTTATAATGCATGTTAATTTCTACCTCTATTGAGGTACAACTGAGGGTTGTTGATTCAAATCCTTATTGAACTGGATTTTTAATTTTAATGTTTAATTTCCAAGTAGTTTTATGTTTTTTAACTATTATTGTTGTTTATTAATAGTTATGTTTATTATTATTTTTTATCTTTCAAAGTTTCATAGAATAAGTGCATCAATGCATACATAAATTAACTGATTTAGATGTAGTCGCAGTGGATAATACTGACTTTAACAGGGATAAGCATTGTGGAGTGTAGATACATTGACAGACTTAAATAGGCAT